TACGACGATATGCAGCATGACTACATAAGAAACAAAACAACATCAAACAGTTACAAAATGACCACAAAGAGACATAAATGACTTGCAAATATATCCAACATGACTAAATAAGATTCAGACAACCTAAATGTGAAACAAAAGTGATGCAAAATGACCAAAATGTGAAGTAAAATGATCTAAATGAGACAAAACCAGACAATATTTGACATAAAGTGACCTCAAAGGAGCAAAAGAAAGAGATTTTAAAAATGATACAAAACGTCAGCACGACTTTAAGTCTGTTAATTAATTTTGCGCTGATGTTTTTGGATCATCTCCACTCGTGTCCGTTCGGCTCCGGTCCAGCGGACCGTGGAAACAAACAGAAACAGAGCGGAGCCGACACACAGGAAGTAGTTCACTATCAGCTGATTAGAGCCTGTCGTGTGTTTTCCAAAGCTGCTGTGAGCTAACGCTTGTGTCTGGTTTGTTGTTGTGAGATTCTGAACCTTTAAATTTCCACCAGCACAAAAAACCAACAACATCCCCACACTCAGTTAATAACAGCAACAGAACCAAGCAGCCGTGGCAGCTTTGGGTTTAAAAAAAAGGCAGCGTGAGCTTAGACACAAACTCCTGGAAGCACCAAAGTCGGCAGCAAATCTCCCGGATTGAGGTGTTTCATGCAGGATGTCGTGCTTCATCCTCCGAGAAGCGCGATTTCCTCCGGCAGCTGCAAACGCCGATTAGAAGTAATGGCTGCGAACAGCACACGGCTCCAGCGCTGGAACACACACACATCCAGGAACCGGAGTAATTAGTCGACAGTAAAACAGCAACAGCGCTGCACATTCAGATCTCACGGCTGAAGCCCTGTGAGGCCTTCTCAGGGGTTTTTTGGCAAATCCAGCTCTGCCAAATTTCCCCCTGGTTTTTACAGCAGGTTTTATTTCTCTCCTCTGCAGCGTGGGCCGAGCCAGCGGGGAGGAGGCTCGCCGTTTATCGTCACAACGAGCCAGAAGCACGGCAGCCCGACAGCAGCTCCACACCTGCCTCCAACCGCCGACAGAAACCGGCGTCTGTTTGCTTTATGACGGCAGCATGACGTGAAGATGACCCAAAGAGCTCCTGGTTCTGTCGGGAATGTTCTCGGACAGATTACTGAACGGGCCCGACTTACGCCAGAATTATGATTTCCTCCACAAACAGACAAAAATGAGGGTCACAGGAGGTTAAAACGAAGACATGTGAGTAAAGAAAACAGCCATGAAGAGAAAAAATGGCAGCGAAGACGTGCAAAATGAATAAAATGTGGCAGGAAATGAGCATAAAAAGTTATAAAACAACCAAAATGTGGCACAAACTGTTTCACAATGACCACAGCGAGACTCAAATGACCCAAATATTCCACTAAATTCATGCAAAACAAACACAGAGATCCAAAAACGAGGCACTAAATAACCAAAGTGATACAAAAACGACAACCAAGAGATAGAAAACGACGCAAAACATCCGTGAGATGCGCAGTTTGGAGACACAATGCAACCTAAATGAGAGCGAACGACGCAAAAATGAAGAGACAGACGTGAAGAGGGATCAAATGAAGAAACAAAAAAGGTAAAAGGGCACGCAAAATAAACAAACTGTGATTAAATGAGACAAAAAATGTTCAAAACAGAACAAAAACCGACATATAAGGATGCAAAATGACAACAACGAGACACAAAAGCCCCAAATACACTAAACTAATGCAAAACGATGAAAATGTGGCACAATATGACCACAAACAGACTGAGATAGATGGAAACAATATGTAACCCGACGAAATAAGACATTAGTGACCAAAATATGCAACTAATGTGATGCAAAATGACCACAGAGATTCACAAACTACTCAATTTTAACACCAAATTAATGCAAAACTGTCAAAATGTGACAC